ATATATATGTTTATTATGCCAGTTTACAGGCAATTTTAAAGAGTTGGTGGAGCACCTATTGGGCGCCTTCAAGAACCTCGAAAACAGGAAAAAACCTAAAATCTATTAGACACGATGTTAGCCGTGGGAGTAATCAAACCGTCACGCTCCCCTTGGGCGTCCCCAGTGACATTGGTCCCTAAGAAAGACGGGAAGGTACGTTTTTGTGTAGACTACCGCCGGTTAAACGCAGTCACTACACGTGACTCGTTTCCCCTACCCCGCATAGACTGCACCCTCGACGCCCTTGCTGGGTCTCATTGGGATTCGACGCTGGATCTCAAATCGGGATACTGGCAAGTAGAGGTCGAACCAGCAGACAGACAGAAAACGGCTTTTATCCTCCCTCAATGGCTGTATGAGTTCGAGACAATGCTTTTCGGTCTCTGCAACACAGCGGATACTTTCCAACGTCTAATGCAAGTCGTGTTGGCACACCTCTATCCCCGACAGTGCCTCATTTATCTGGACGATGTGATTGTTTTCGGGAAAGTGATTGATGAAGACAACGGCAACCTGTACGCAGTCTTGACAGCGATATGGGAAGCCGGTCTCACCCTCAACCCCCAGAATTGCTTTTTCCTGCGCGAAAATGTTATTTATCTATGACACGTGATCAGTTCTACCGGTATCGAAATAAGTACCGAAAAGACCAAGGCCATCCGCTCATGGCCAGCGCCTACCACCGCCACCGAGGTGCGCAGTTTTATCGGATTAGCTTCGTATTATAGGCGCTTCATAGCAAATTTCTCGAGGATAGCACGCCCGCTGTATAAATTGACAGAGAAAAGTCCAAAAAAGCGTTTTGCTGGACGGCGGAGTGCCAAGCCGCTTTTGACAACCTTAAGGCACATCTGTGCTCCCCACCAGTACTCATACTTCTAAGCACCATGGCGTCGGCCCCGCCGTAGATACCGACGCCAGCGAATTGGCGATTGCTGCAGTGCTCTTTCAAGCAGATGCGGAGGGTCGCGAGAGAGCCGTCTGTTTCGCGAGTAGGACCCTGAGGAATTCAGAGCGAAGCTAGGAACTGTTAGCAGTTGTCACCTTCACCAGGCTATTCTGTCCCTATTTACTGGGTAAACCCTTCGTCATCCGCACGGACCACAAAGCCCTCGTGTGGCTAGAAAACACTAAGGATGTTGAAGGACAGCTAGCCCGGTGGCAGGAATTCCTCCAACAGTATACATATACCTGCATTTACCGACCCGGTAAACAACATGCCAACGCAGACGCCCTTTCCCACCGCCCATATACAGATGATGACTCGGACATTCAAGCTGTTGGTAGCCACATAAATGCTATCCAAGCCGAACCAAGTACACTCCACCACTGGGCCATCGCCCAAAGTACGGACTCTGACACGGCCATTTTGTACGACCACCTCTTCCACGGTCAACACCGACCTTCCGATAAAGATCTGACGGGTTCCCAGAAGAAGCATTTATCGTCCGCAACCAATGGCCACACCTTTTTATCGACAACGACATCCTACTGTACAAGGATGAACATTCCAATTCCTCTCGAGTTTTCCTCCTCAGTAGTTTAGTTATCCCCATCCTATCCGACCTACATAATGAACTTGGTCACGTTGGCCAACACAAAACAGAAGTCGCCGCCCGTCAACGTTTTTGGTGGCCACGACTACGCGAACGAGTATCCATATTTTGCAACACCTGCCCTACGTGTGCATCCTTTAAGAATCCTACGCACCTCATGCGTGCTCCACTTCAACCTATGCAAATGATATTTCCATTTCAATGGGTCGGTGTGGACATTATTGACCCACTTCCGTACATCACCGATAAACACCGCTTTATGTTGGTCCTAGTAGACTATATCACCAAGTGGGTGGAGGCCATACCTCTCCTTAAACAAGATTCGGCTTCCGTTACCACAGCCATTTTTAACGAATGGATTTGCCGGTTTGGGGCACCCCTTTCTCTCCATTCAGACTGTGGTGTAAACTTCGACAGCAAGTTGCTACGCGAAGTAGGTGATATGTTACAGATATACAAGACCCATACAACGCCTTTCCACCCAGAAGGCAACGGCCAAGTCGAGCGAACGAAAGGCACGCTCAACAACCTTCTTAAAGCCTTTACTAGGGATCATCATCCCCTCGACTGGGACCAACGCCTCCCCTGCGCCCTAATGGCTTACCGAGCGATGGTCTACTCGTCCACCGGCTATACGCCTTTCATGATGATAACACGGCGCACCTTTCGGCTTCCCATCGACTCTCTGACACCCCAACCATCTCCCGCCTTCCAGTCGACCAATGACAACGTCCTATACCTACAAGAACTTTTGCGTCTCACCTACAACCTAGCCCGGTCACACCTAGGGACAGCCTGCGACCGCCAGAAAAGTGACTTTGACCGCCAAACGTTCGGTTCTCCATATGTCAAGGCAACCTCGTGTGGAAGTATCGTTCCGTTCCCCCCTTAGGCGCATCGTCAAAGTTCTTCAACCACTGGGAGGGGCCATTCCGCGTCGTCGACGTCATCTATCCGTCCACGTACGTTCTCTAAGACCTTAGGCAGCCCAGCAGGCTCCCTTTCACCGCGCATTTTGATAAGTTGAAACCCT